TATTTATTTTGGACTTGTCTTACAAGTCCAAAGCGTTTATGTTAAAATCTACTTATAACAAGTAGGGAAGCCTGAATAGCACATTTAAAGGAATAAAGAGCTGTACTCAATGTCTTAAGCTCCGTAGACTTTGTATGTTGTCTGTATGTATGTAGTGCACCCGTTTTGTGCAATGCCCGCGGAGGTCAGAAAAGAGAGTTTTAAATCCCTGGATCTGGAGTTATGACTGGTTGTTAGCTGCCATGCAGGTACTGGGATTTGAACCTGGGTCTTCTGCAAGAACAGGCAGTGCTCTTTTAATCACTGAGCCATATCTCCAGCCCCAACTTTCAGTTCTTTTTTTTTTTTTTTGGTGTGAGGGAGTCTTTTTGAGACAGGGTCTCCCTGTAGCCCCAGCTATCCTGGAACTCACTATGTAGACCAGGCTTGCCTTGAGCTCACAAAGATCCGCCTGCCTCTGCCCTCTAAGTGCTGGGATTAAAGGCACTGCCACCACACCTGGCCTAACTTTTAGTTCTTTAACAACAACAACAACAACAACAACAACAATAGCTTCTTAGAAAAATGTATGTTTGCTAATAAGCCTGAAACACAAATGTGTGAAAAAGTTAAAGCATGTAAAGTACATCTTCCTGTGTGTTTGGCTATTCTGAAGCAAAATGTTATAGCGATTCTGGAAAGTTTACTCCAAATACTGCCTGTTAGGAAATGAAGACCTGAGCATGTAGAAAGAGGCAAGTCCAAGAACCACTTCCAGCAGGAGCTCCCTGGATTGGCTGCTTTGCTTCTCCCACTTTGGGACTGATGGCACATGGCAGAGAAAGAACTCCTTTTCTTCAGTAAAAGATATCATGTCATGGGGGCCTGGAGGTCACATAGTAACCATCCACAGGAGGTAACTATAGTTACTCTGGAGATACCCATAGCTAGTGGGGAGGGAGAATGACACAGGAAATCAAAAGTTCAAGGCTTGCCCGGGCAGTTTAGTAAGACTCTTTCTCTAAATAAAAGCAAAGAAAGAAAAAAGAAGAAGAAAAAAGGCTGAGGATATGACTCAACAGTCCATCACGTGCAAGAACCTTGGTTCAATCCCCAGAACTGGAAGAAAAAGTACGTCTTGTTTTACATCTTCTGAACTGGGAGAGGGTCATCGATGTATTTCATTGTACTTGTTTCTAGAGCTGAATTTTTTGAAAATTTCAAAACATGCGTAGCCCAGACTTCTAAGCCTATCTCAGCACACACACACACACACACACACACACACACACACACACACACACACACACATTCTAAAGATATCCACCGACCAAAACTCTGTCAAATGTGACTATTTTTATCTTCAAGATTAAAGTAGTCCTAAATAGGATCCTCACACCACTACCCTGGAGTGCTTTGCAGAAAGATACTTTCCAGTGAGGCAAAGAATAAAGTCACTTATAACATTCATCTACTCACCTAGCACTTATCTAGTCTTTTCTTCAGCAAAATGGAGTCACAGCATGTTCCAGATGGTATAGCTACTTTTTCAAGTTCCTTAAAGAGAATGCTGAAACTCACGCTTGTTTTGTGTTTTCTTTCCCCATTAGATGGGTAAACGAATGACTCCTTTCATGAAAAATAACAAACAGGCCCACCAGAGAGGAGTTAGACCTAACAAAGCAGTCCAGTCCATTCTGTTGCTCTCTCAGGGACCCATGCCCTACTGTGTGACACTATGCCTCTCATGCCTGTCATAGGACTTCATATGATTTTATATAAACCCATGTTGTCATTAGAGTAAGGGAGACATTTTCAAGAATGAGATCATGACATATAACATGTTTTCTGAAGGTAAGCAACTCTAATTTTAAAGTTTATGGTCTTTAAACTCCTGAAAGTTTGTGAACACATTTTTAACATGTGAACTCATGAAACCGCAGTTATTTCCTGCCTGGTCTTTCCACACCTTACACAGAAAGAAGTTTGATTGTTGCAGCTTAGAGCAGCTCTTTGCTGAGGGTTCACAAATCTCTGACATAGTTTTTCATCAGTACACGAGTGAATGTATCTTGGTAATTCTGACACTTTACATTTAAAATTACATAAAAATATATTCTTAACCTAATGTATTAGAGTGAATCGAATAAAACTGAGCATTCATTCTTTTCTGATTATGCTATTACTGATTATTAGGGACGACTACTGACAGATACAGTGTTGTAAAGGTAAGGTCTTTACCTGTGGGGACTTTCTGGGAGGACTGTAGGGACTGATTCATATAAAATTCTAGACACTTTAGATCAATCTATCATACATTAAGTCTGGAAAAGAAAATTTAAAAAATTAAAGTGGTTTATGAATATGGTCAGATTTTTAAAAAATTTACAGAGTAATCATTAACAATTAACATGTTGGCCTACTAAGACTATTTTGGAAGAGAATGAAGCTGTCCCACACTGAGAGCATGTTTTTCCTTATATGGAATTAGACTGTCATGGGATCTTATCCTTTTCCTGTTCATGATCAGCATCCTTCTCAGTATGTTAGACACACTACAGAAAGAAAAAAAAAAAAAGGATTCTTGGTGGAGTAATACAGTTTTAAGGCTTTTTGAAGCCATGTTATTAAGTGAAATTATGATAGTGTATTGGATTTTTACTTAGGAATCTTCTAAATTTTGATATATGACATTTTATTGTTATTATGAAGTCCGTGCAAGTGTTACTGCACTGTGATTTTGAAAATTTCCTTTGTAAAAGCTCTTTTTCTGTTTTTCTTTCTCATATAAGACCTGCGTATAGTACCAATGTTACAGAAGAATATAAAATAAAAGTTCACTTTTCCTTACAATAACTTTGCTTCTGGGCTCACCTCCCAGAGACACTTAACTAATGATTTCTTTTTTTGTTTTAATCAGTTAGACTGCAATCCCTCCCTCTAACTCTCCCAAAGGAAGAGAAGAACGATCATCAATGGCAAATGGCAACTGCAAAAAAAAGCAACACCAAAAGCCAGCTTCATGCTTAGGATAGAATGCTGCATCCCATCCTCATGGTTTCTGGTACTTTACACAGTCAGAGAAACTTCTCTAGTTATGAACTATAGAAATGATCCCTGAAAGTATAGTCTTATGATTTCTTATTTATCCTTCTAGAACTTAAAAAAAATATATGTCTGGTGTGAGGGCACATGCCTTTAGTCTTAGCACTCGTGAGGCAGAGGCAGGTAGATCTCTGGAGACCAAGGAGAGCCCAGGATGGTCTGCATAGTGAGTTGTAAGCTACCCTGTTTCAGCCTCCCAAATGTATGTGGATGCACATAAATTTGTACATTCAACCACTTTCTATCTTACTACTCTGTTCACTGCTGTCATTAATCTGTTACTTTTATTTAACATTATGGCTAAACACAATTTCTATATCAGCATATATAAAGCTGTATTATTCATTTGATAATTTACTTAATAAGCTTACTTTCAAATCTATTATTATCTTTCCAATTTCCCTTTAAATGTTTCAATGACCATAGGCATTCCATACTGATACAAAGGGATCAATAGGATAAGTCCAGTATAGGATTATCGAACCAAATTGTTTGGAGTGTTAAAGTTTTGATAGATATTTATAAAATACTATTTATAAAGTTTATAAAAAAAGTGTGATGTTAAAAATCTAAATTTCATAAAATCCCTTTTTTGCTTTATCTGTTGTTTGATTGCATTTTTGTAACTTTGAATAAAGTTGATATTCTTTTAACTTTCTTATGATTTGAGCAGTTTTTCTTCTGTTAGTCACTTTATTTTTCAACCTGGCTGTTCACAGTTTCTCATATTAAACGGTGCATGCTATATTACAGAAGCCAATATTTTATATAGAACATATGGCAATCCACTTTCAAAGGTTCGTACTTTATCTCTGCAATTTGTTTATGGTACTTTTCATTTATTGCCATTTATATAGCCATTAGGAAGTTAAATTCACCAATATTTTCCATGATGGATTTGGAAGGTTTCCTAAAGATTATTTTAAGCTGAAATATTATTTATGAGGATTTTATAAAGGTGACTAAAAACAATTTTGAAGATCATCTTTTTATAATATTGTAACAGAATAATTTTGGCATTATATGAATTATCAAAAAATTTTTATAAGATGATTTATCTTTAAACATATTAAGATGATGTAGAAACTGTGGACTTTATTGTAAAGCTGTGCTTTGGGGAAAAAGTAAGGAAATGATCAGCTTTATATCACCGTTCTTTTCAGTTAACAGGGGTTATCTGAGACAAGAACTTCAGAGTGAGTTACGAGGAAAGAAATGGAAATTCCAAGGCAAATAGACAGTGGAAATAGTAAAGTGACAGAGATTCATTAAAGGAAATTCAGAAAGCATATGCCAAAACATAGAGCGAATCTGAAATTAATAAACTTCTAAAACTTTTCAGATTTGTTACACATTTTTCTTATTTTTTTCTGCTTTACAAATTTTCAGACATTTAAAAGCAAAAGAAATGATTTGCTCACAAATCAGTGAATAACATAATTAAGTTACTTTTACTAGAACACCCCAAGAATTTAAGTCAAGTCTTAAAGGCACTTTGACAAGAATCTGCAAAAGCTTGTGCACACAGAACGGTAAGTGTGATTACATTTTATACACTGCTTATGATTATATTTACAGCACATATTGTTAAATATAAGATAATACTATATATGAAATATGATTATATACACCCCTATTATATGACTTAAAATTGAGGCTGCTGGGTCCTGTGGGCAAATCTCTTCTCTCAGTAGGTCACAGATCAGGATATATTTAAGAAATCATTATATAGGAAACACGTCAGATTCTTTTCCATTTCAGATAAAGGGATAGTCATTAGCCATGTGCAGGCGGGGGGACAGACAGCACGGTACAAGGTATTTTATGTAAAGTGATGCCATTTGAATGGAAAGAGAGGTTACTAAATTTGGCTCAATAGAACATTCTTTTCCAAGAGAAATAACATATAAAGAATCATGAAGAACTATATTTGAGTTGGATAACAAGAATTTGAGTCAAAAAGTAAATTGTGATAAAATTGGAGATGTATGAGTTTCCTGGAGGGAGAAGTGTAAAATTTTCAATCTGTTTGGGAAAAGATGGATGTAAGTTGTATTTACCCTCACAGATTAGCCTTCTTCATGAAACGAGTGGAATGGTGGTGGATTCGTCGGCACATTCTAGCACTGCTCTGTGTTTGACATCTTCTATGGACTTCCTTTCCCAGTTCCAACTACATGGCATGATGGCAGCTCTGAGTTGATTTTGCCCCAATCTTTACCATAAATGTTAAATTCTGTACTGTTAGAACTGCCTGAAAAAGTCCTAGATCCAAGCAGCTGCTGAAATTCATTACTGAGAAAACTGTGTCAGCGGTCCTGAGGGCACACCTCTTCCCTCAAACATGATTCCAGGGAACCTAACCACAGCTCAGTCTTTTAACCAACACCAGTGACCTTTGTCAAAACAAATGACATTTGGCTGGCTTCATCTAACCACTGATGGAAAATCTGCATACACTAGGAGAAATTCTTCAGGAACTGAAACATTAGGGGAATCATTGGCTTAAATCTCCACTTGCTTGGAGTCTGGCCGCTTAATAACTAGACTTTACAACAGTGTTTATAAACCATACAAGAGGTAAATAAGCACCTCTACTGAAAGCTGAAAAGTAATTTCCATTCATGCTGACATGTGAACAGTTTACATGACTTGTTTAAGAGGCTGCTCTCTTTATATCGGAACCCTAAATCTGAGATGTTACAGAAAATGACATAATAAAAGTTCTTTTTAAAACAAGGTCTCATATAGTACAGGCTAGCTTCACACTCACTCATCCTCAATCCTCTATCTCCTTGGTACTGGGATTACAGGTGGTGTCACCATGCCCAGTGTATGTGATGCTGGGTGGCAAATATACATGCTAGGCAAATACCCTACCAACTGAGTTATACCCTCAGACCAAGAAAAGCTAATTTTAAAAAGTCTATCCCCCCTGCTTTTTTCCACCTTTAACAACCATCTTTCTGTCTTGCTTAGTTTGCTCATGAACTCCTGGTCTCAATGGATCCTCAGTTTCCCACGCAGGGAGGACTAGAGACAAGTGGCACTGTGTCCAGCTATGATTCCTTTAAAAAGGTTGATTGAAGCAGAAGTGATGTCCAACCCGCACGCTCCCACAATAAGTGTGTTGGGCTTAGATGGGCTGCTGAATTTTAGTACTGTTTTCCAAATAATCCTGAACTTCAAGATTTCTTCATTATTGCACGTAAAATTAAATATTATAATGAAAATGGGATATATCTTAATACTTCTATTTTTCTTATATTTTCTTCTGAGAAAAATAGGACTTGATTTCAAATTATAACTTCAAATAAATTCTTAAGGGTCTAGAGCGATGGCTCAGCAGTTAAGTGCAATGGATGCTCTTGCAAGGGACCCGAGTTCAATCCCCAGCACCGATGTGGTGTCTTAACAACTCTTTCCGTAACTCCAGTTCTGGGGGAATTAGACACCCTCTTCTGACCTTCATGGCTGGGCATTGAACTACACGGGTGCACTTACATACATGCAGACAATACACTCAAACACTTTAAATAATAAAAAATTATTTAAAAAGTAAATAAATTCTTAAATAAATAGCTTTCATCCAAAAGTAGGTGGCCCAGTGCAGAACAGTGTAGGAAGCAGCATGGGACGTAGGCTTTGGGATGTGAATTGCTCTGCTTAAATCTTGACTGTGTCAGTTATCACATTTGGGAGCAATCTATCTCCATTATTTCTTAGGATTCTTTTCAAAAAATATTTTATTTATTATTTTTATTTTATGTGTCTGCGTGTATTGCCTGCATGTAGGTAAGTGCACCCGTGTCGTGCAATGCCCACGGAGGTCAGAAGGGGCTGTGGGATCCCCTGGAACTGGAGTTATGGACAGTTGTTAGCTGCCATGTGGGTGCTGGGATACGGGCCGGGTCTTCTGCAAGAATAGCCAGTGGTCTTAACCGCTGAACCACATCTCTAGCCCTTGTTTCTCAGGATTCTAACTGATGACATGAAGGTAAATTAGTGACTACATCATAGAACTTTGTGAAGATTAAACAAAAGACATTCGAAGGATGAATACTATGTGGCACATGATATACATTGAATAAATTTTAGCTTTATCAAAATATGATTTTATTGCAAGGCCAAGAAAAGAACATCTAAGATAATCATTTTCAGTAAGCTACTACAGTGCTTCTCGGTGTTTAATGTGATGAATTATTTGGGACTCTGGTGAAAATGTTGATTCTTATTCAAGGAGTCAAGTTGGGGTCTGAGATTCTGTATTTCCAACAAATTCTCAGATGATACCTAGGATGCTGGTCCACAGAATGTGACACCTGAGGACACTGGACCGATATTTCTTCTGATTTGTAATACATTAAGTCTCAGTAAGAGAGACAGCAACTCAACTTGCTCAACACAAAAAAACACTGATCTGATACTTCAACCTTTTATTTCCTTTCATTTAATTTTTTCATATTCTTTACTTTTCCCTAGAGTTATTCCTTTGGTTTAAAAAATAATATTATTTCCCAAATAGTAAGGTCAACTTCAGGCCATTTTATTGTTTAAAATGGGATGATATTTCATGAGGTTAGAAAGGTAGTTTCACTGTAACATTTATCCTCTAGTAAGACAAGGAAGTAATTTTTGTATACTGCTTAGCTACAGACTATGGGGTTTCACTGGATGTGGCCCATACCATCAAAGAAATTCTCAGGAGAAACAGAAAGAAGATGGGACAGGAACCAAACAAGGCAGCATGTTAGACATTCTATCTCATCTGAAAGGTAGGCCAGGAAGAAGAGTGGTTTTTAAAAACAATCTCTTTCCCAATATGTGTTTAGCTTGACCAACAACTCTGCAGGGCAAAGACCATGTTCATCCTTTGATGTATCCTCAACGGCTGAACACCACTCAGATCTACCCTCTCTCCTCTGTAAGAATTGGCTACTGCTAACAGACTTCACAGACAGAATTCTTCATTTTCTGAAGTACAGTAGGACCTGTGATTCCTTTAAAATGAGAAAATACTTAAGAAACTTAGTGAGTGAATTGGCGACTATAAATTCTCTTCACAGGCAAGCATGAGATCATATGTGTGCTTTCCAACATTCTTGCTCTGTAGTTAATATTCAGAATACTTAAATTCATGGATCTAAATAGACTAAGCTTCAGCAATGGCTAGCAGATTCTAGACATTCATTTCTATTCAAGACGTCCCAATGAAGCACCTTCAGAGGAACCAACAAACGAAACAAAAATAAAAGTAAAAGCTTCTAAATTGATCTGTAAGAATAGTGTAACATAGAGCAATCACACATTTGTATTATACAGCCAATTCTCTGTTATAAAGATATTTTGAAACAACTTCAATTTTCATATGCCAGGAAAGTCTTTTGTGAACATCTGTTATGAAAAGAATAAAAATCAACAAATATTTCATGGTAATACAGAATAGCAATATCCACTTTTCATCTTAATGTCTGTCTTGAATATATACTTCTCTGTTTCCAGCTGTCAAATTTGACTTTGAAGTAATAACGCTAATGAAACATGATGAATTTATGGCTCGTTAGAGTTTTTGTTTCTGTGAAGGAAACACAATTTTAGATCTTCTAATAGGTTAATGCTAGTTTCTTGTCAAATCATTTGAATATTACCTTAAACCTCTTGGATACTACTGGATTAAAGTAGCTTTAGCTATTAAGGCATTAAGAAGTTGGTTTTTCGGAAGTTAAAATTCAGGGAAAGGACTGGATACAGTGACAAGCAACAGGCTAAAGGACAAGAGTTTGTTATGGGCAAACGTTTAAACAGGGCAGGGCTTCTATCTTTGTCTCCATAACAGATCTGGAAGGAGAGTATAGCACCTTCAGTTATCTGCTTGGAAAGGGCACCAGGAGAGCACAGAAAAGGCACAGACTGCATTAAAACTCTGTTTCGAATTCCTTCTCTGCCAAGTGTCTTACTGGAGCTTGAGGCAAGTGTAAGATTAAATTTTTCTTTTGGTTGTGAGCCTGAGCCTTTAACGGCTGTGCCAAACGACCTTAAGAGTAAAAATAAATTGGTTTATTTGGGCCAACTGTATGGTCTTAAACACCCAAAAGGAAAGTATAACCAAAGAGCGAAGTCATCAGTATATTTCTTTAAGAGTTCAAGGGGTTACACTTTCCAGACATTAGGCTTATGTCCATATAAAATGTTATTTAGACAATTATTTCTCGTTGTTGATTTTGTTTCTAAGCAGAAAGTGCTGCTCAGATGTAAGACCTCAAATCTTGGTCTCCAATACTGTAGTGCCCACCTGTAGCTAAGGGAGACAACCAACTATTGTTCTAAATGATGGATAAATTTGTTTTCTCCCCCTACCTAGAAGCCTTTGAGAGGGACCTGACACTGATTCTAGCCACTCCAACAGCTATTAGAGAGCCTGAAAACAAATCCTGAGTGCATCACTCTCAAGTCCAGCCTTGGCCGACAAAAGAAAAATGAGGAGGAACCCAATAGAGGGATGCTTTTGGAAGCCCTTGTCAAGAAACGCCAATGGACTCCCATATGAACATTTGAAAAATGCCCTGTTCTGACTTTTTTCTGGTTCCCTGTCTAGAACTTGTAATGCTAATTACTCTTGCCTTTACTTCTTCACTTTTCCTAGGCACCGGTCAAGGATTTTCTTTTCTCCCTACAGATAAGAGTTAGGTAATGTGGGAGTCTTTTAGATAGACCCACTGAAGGGGTACCCCAATTGCCTCACCCCGTGTCCCTGTTCAGCATGGAAGAAGCCAGAGAAGTCTGCGTCCTGTTTCTCAATTTTGGCAATTTGGGTAACCTCTTCAGAGGATGGTGTGATAAGAATAGGAGGTAGGAATTGGCTAGGCAGTTAGGGTAAAAAGACCCCAAAGAAAAGTAGCCAGTTTCTTGGCTAAAAGTCAAAATGTCCTTGGGCCTCTTAGCAACATACTCTGTTCCATAAGCCAAAAATATCAAAAGTATTTGGGAGCTCTTATCAAACCACTAAAAGATTTTAGGGTTACCTTTTCAAACAGAGGAATGTTAGAGTAGCAAAAAGCCCCCTCCAAAAAAGAAAGAATACATTAAGTTGTCAGAAAAAAGTGATGGGGAGATATGGGAAGAATTGGAGGGGAGAGAGTGGGCCTGGATTTGATCAATGCACATTATATGCATATATGAAATTCTCAATAAATTTTTTAAAGTAAGAAGAAAAAAAATTAAACTTTTCTTATTGTCTTTTCAGCATAAGCAAAATTAGTCATTACCCTTAATTAGCAACAACACAATAATAAGTAGCGGCAGGAGTTAAAAGTAACAAGAGGTTCAATAAACTAACAGATACTAACTAACTAGTAGCAAGAAACTCAAAAGATCCACAGATTTGTCCTTTTTAAACATTGGCCTGGGATGGGGTAAGACAGAGGAAGACTAAGCCAGCCTGTTTTGGCAGTGGTGATGGATGGACATTTTGTAAATCTCATGGTGACAAGTTGGATGGAACAGAGCCAGAAATCCAGGAATTGTGATGGGGAAACCAAACAAAAACACAAACATAAAATAATGAAGTCAGGAAGAAAAGAAGGAATCAGAGTTGGTAGCAAACGTCAAACTAATAACCATGGAAATTTAGTAAACACTGAGACCAAGCAATCTGAAGCCAGTCCCTAACCTTCAAGCTGCAATAGGAACTGCCACCTATAATGGGCCAGGACACTAGACAACCTAATGCTTGTCCCTAGCAGATAGCAGGAAAGTTAGTTTTGAGACTCCAAACATGGGCTAACAGGGTAATTTAGACTTTTATTTTGTCAGCAAGAATTAAGAAACAGAAGAAATCAGGGATTTTTATAACTTACCAGCAGAGACCTGAGACTCAGAACTGACAACAAACCAATAAACAAAACCGCTCAACACTGCACAGTTAGTTCAGTGGGAGTCTCTACTCCCTTGTCCTTGCTGCAGAGGACAAAAAGGTTCCTGGACATTAGCAGGGACTTGATCACTGCTTGTGAAGTGATTACCAAATAGGGCTTTTATGGCTGGGGAAACACCTTCAGAGAAGATAGACATGGCAGGTGATTTTTTTGTTCATTTGTTTGCTGTTAAATCAAGGAATTGGAATGCTAAGCAAGCATTCAGCTGATTTGAACCCCAGCCTTTGGGGTTCAAATAGAAGACTGTAGGGGGTCTAAAGCTTATGCTAAGGGGAATAAACACTTGGGGTCCCCAGGACCCCCTTGGTAGTAACTATTGAAAGAATCATTGAGGCACGAACTACCCTCAAAAGGAGACAGTAGTTGCTCAAAAGTTATTGAACAGAACAGTGCGGTGAAGGGCTTCGGGCTTCCCACACTACCCTTCTCTATCCCTCTCTATCCCCTTCTCTTCCTGGAACGACACAGGAAATAAATGTAGCCAATGTTCAAATGTGACCTCAGGGCACAGAGAGTACTCATACTTCCCTGAGAAAAGGGGCTCCTGAGAATTGTTGGTGGGTTTTACACTTCCTGGGGATGATTGCAGACAGTGGCATCAGCAGCTAGCTCTCTCACGTGAGACCAAAGTCTTGGGGAGATTGGCCGACGTGTTCCGGAGACCCCAGCAGTCTGCGACTGTGCTATACATTTAAGAGAAATGGAACACAGGGTAGAGGAGTGGACCGTTCTGCACTTTGTTCAGGGTGGAAACAGAGTCCTTTACCAAAATTCCGCATCAACTACAGATGTGTACAGGGCAAATCTATGGGGCTGAGGTGTTGCCCCGTTTCTCCGCACCTCGGCTTGATGGCTTAAAGAGCCACTGGGAATACCTGGCTTGATGGAGTTTGGCAAATATGCGGACTGTGTCATACCAACGCCTCACTGGTACGGTTTGCAGGGAGAGGGGCTTTGGAGAAAGGCAGCGCTGGGACACTGGCAGCGAAGGGGGAGGTTGAGGACACTCTTTTAACTCAAAGTAGCACAACTTTCTATTGCTGGCTCCGAATTCGGGTCGCAGTTAAAACACAGCAGTTATTGAAAAGCATACAGGAAAAGTTCACTTGCTTGCTTCCCATTGCTGTAGATTTCTAGCCTGTACTCTGAAGAGTTTGGTCAAAACATTATGAAATTTTGGACTACGATGCAAATAAGCCCACACAGTTTCTAATCTGGAGACGGGCAGCCAGCTGCAGGGTGGGCTCAGATACTGAGACACGAAAGTGACCCTTCCCGCCCTTGATCCCCAAGCTGGCAAAGCCCTGGGCTGAGACTCACCACACCAGGAAGAGGCGCTGCTCCGGTGCTGGGCTCCGCCGCCTGGGCGATCTACGGAGCGGGACTCCCTCACACCCCCGCTCGCCTGCAGCCGGTCGGCATCCACCCTGGGCCGCCGCAGCAGAGCTGCAGACTGGGTGTCCCGGTATCCTCCTGTCCCTCGCCTCTGTGCCTGGAAATGAGCAGCAAGGCAGCTCCACATTTAAAGCAAAGGGGCGTTGCTGCTCCACCGGCTCCAACTTAGAGGCTCTGCTCAGCACTCTCTCCTCCGCTCCGCCCCTCGAGACCCTCCTGTCCAACCCTTTCCCTCTCTGGATTCTGACGCATCCTCTCTACAGACAGTCACCCAGTGCCACCTCCCAGATCCGCGCCCAGCTGACCTCGAGCCCCCCTCATCACAGCATGAAGTGTTGAAAACCTAGAGGTGGGGGTAAGGGAGCATCCATTGCCTCCAAGATAAATGTTCCACATTTTTGTTAAAGGTTGGAAAGTTTTTAAGGACGAATTAGGGCACTCCCTTGTCTTTTCTGGGCTCACTCAAAATTTGATAATATCTTGTGGATCACAGACGGCATAGATTAATTTCAGAGTTGTAGTAAAAGACCTGATGTTCATTTCCTCCTATTTTACATGTGGCTCAAGCTGCATTTATTTAAAAGTAAAAACAAGGGGCTGGAGAGATAGCTCAGTTTGCTCTTACAGAGGACCCCCGTTTGATTCCCAGTACCCACATGGCAGCTAACAACTGTTGGTAACCCCAGTTCCAGGAGATACGCGGTGCTCTTCTGATCTCCACGGATATTGTGTGACATGGGTGCACTTACATACATGCAAGCAATGCACTCATACACACAAAATAAATAAATAAATAAATAAAATATTTAAAATCAATTAATAAATAAAATCTTTTTAAAAAAATAAGTAGGTAGTGTAGGCACACACCTTTGATCCCAGCACTCTGGAGGCAGAGGCAGGAGACCTCTATGAGACCAAGTTTAGCCTGATCTACATATAGTTCCAGGCAAGCAGGGACTATAAAGAGACCCTGTCTCAAAAAGACCAAAAAATAATAATTAAAAATAAAAACAGATGGTCATAAAACAAAACAACACAAAATATTTGAGGACAAATTGGAATCAATTCTTTAACAAAAGGGCCATTTCCCAGCTCAGGATGAGGCCAGAGTTACTCTGATACAAAAACTAGATAACACATCACAAGAAAATGCTGGGTGGAAGATTTTTATGAATGTAGACACAATCCTCAGAGAAGTGTTAGCAATTAAAATCCAGTGCAAAAAAAGGGGGGTGGGTATTGAGATCAGGCTGTTCCCTGGTAAGTTACTACATATTGTACAAAACAGTGGGTTTTTCAAACAGTGTTTTGCCCTAAGAGACTATATTTTGCATGCAGCATTGACTTTATTTTGAAAAATGCAGAAAAACATGTTGCACCGTGTTGGGCTTCTGAACTCCAGTATGGATATGTGCAGCAGGAAATTTCCAACTGTTCTGTGGACCAGCTTGGCTCAGCCAACCCCCTGTGGATGTTGCCTGTTTGAAGTGCCTTGATGCATCCACCCGTTTGCTTGTCTGACCCTGCCATTCAATGTTAGCTGTGAGTCTTACCCTTCTCCTCTACAGCCTCCACCACTGATTTAGCTTAAACCTTGTCTGGGTAGCAGTATCTCCTGCAGACCTCCAGCAGACTGTTATGTTGTTCCCACAGAGACTATTTTCTCATCCTTATTAGCGTCCTAGCATCTGCTTCTCAGGCATCTTTGAAACTCCCTGAACTCTCCTGAGGCCGCTTTAATCCTATGTAGCCATCCTGCAACCTACATATATACAGACTGATAGGTAAATGTGTAGATAGTCAGATGAGAGAGAGGTAGATAGATTTGCTATGGGATGTATAATGCGTGACCTGAAAGATAACATCAATAGTTAAGATTAGAATAATGAACTCTGTATTTGCCTTGCCAGGTTATCAAGGAAATAAAGACTACTTGGCAAATTGCTGTCTACAAAACCAATGTGAATTATTGTTAATCAACAAATTTTGAGACTCTGAAAAGTCACAGACATGTTGGTCTATGTTTCTAACAAATATAGAAATTAAGTATTTCTATACTTATATATTATAGTACCAGCAAATACACTATATTATTAACAAATATTCCTCCCACAGGAAAGGAATATGTACCAAGATCAAGTAAGATTTAACCCAGGAAAAGTTGATTAGCTTACCAAAATCAATGAATAAGATAAACCATATAAATCGAATGACCAAGAAAACATATATTTCAACCAAGTAAATTAAAAATAAGGTATTTGACAAAATCCAACAAACTTTTATGATTACAATATGCATCAGTCTATGAACAAATTGAAAAGAATTTTCTCAAACTGTAAAGCTACCTATGAAAGTCACTAATATCACAATTAAGGTAAATGACCATATTTTTGTGTTTAAGATCAAGAAAAAGTCAAGGATGCCTGGTTTTTCTACTTTCGCTCAACCTAGGCAAGAAAAATGAATTAAAAAGCATACAAATGGGAAAAGAACTAATACTTTTTCTATTTGTGGATGGTATGATATTATGTTTATAAAACCCAAAGATGTGACTAGGAAGACGGCTCAATAAGTGTGCTTGTTATACAAGCATGTGGACCTGAGTTTTCTTCCCAGTACTCACATAAAATACCAGGATGAACATGTACACATACCTGGGGTCCCAAAACAGCATCACTGGGTCTTGCTCACCATCAGCCTAGCTGCCGGTTCAGTGACTCAGAGAGACCTTGCTCAAAAAATAGGTGGTGAGTAATAGAGCCAGACATCCTCCTGTTAGCTCTGCAAGCATGCACACAGACATGTGTATCAAACATACATGCACATACATCACATACACACACACACACAGGTATCAAACACAGAGTCCTAATACATGATCAATATAAACAAAACTGTTGTAATTATACACTAACAATGAACAATAAAAACATGAAATTAAGCTAGCATGTTGGCACATGACTGTAATTGCAGCATCCAGGAAGCTGAGACAGGATGATTTCTGTGAGTCTGAGGGCAGCCTGGGTTACTTATTAGTTTCAGGCCAGCCTAGGCTATGGAGTGAGGCCCTGTCCCAAAAACAACAACAGCATAAAAAAAAAAAAAGGATTTTTGGGGGGGTGGGCGTGGTGGCATATGCCTTTAATCTCAGCACTCAGGAGGCAGAGAGGCAGGTGGATTTCTGTGAGATTAAGGCCAACTTGGTCTACTGAGCTCCACCAGCCTGGGGCTACAGGGAGACCCCTCAAAAAGAAACCTCATGAATGAAGACAATTCCACTTTCCATATGTCAAAAGAATAAGAATATTTAGGAATAAATTCAACAAAAATGGTACAGATGAGCCGGGAGTGGATGTAGCTCAGTGGTATAGCACATACATGACACGATGAAGGACCTAGTTTCAATACCCGGCACTGGAAAATGTGGATGAAAATTAACCCCTTCCCCAAACCAAAAAGCACTTTTGAAAGAAATTAGATTAGACCTAAATGAATTAAATGATATGCCATTATCATAAATTGGAAGATTTAATATTGTAAAAATGATCTAACCCTCCAATGATATCCAAATGAAAAAATATCCACATCAAAATCCCAACAAGCTGCTTTTGTGCAGAAATGAATGAGGCAGTCCTAAAATCTGTACGGTTGTTTAACTTAAAAATAATGAGAATAATTGTGAAATAGAAGAACAAAATGGGGTATTGTGGTTTTCCTATTTCAAAACTTTCTGCAAAGTATAATAATAAAGACTCGCAGTACCATAATAGAGACTTAAGTATAAATCACTGGCATAAAATTGAGTTCTGAAACCAAACCAGGACAATTCAATAGGTGCATGAAAAAACGGTTCTGGAACAACTAATGATGCTCGTGCAGAGGAATGAAGTTGCATTTCTTTTAAAAAAAATATTTTATTTGTTATTTTTATTTTATGTGTATGAGTGTATTGCCTACATATGTGTAAGTGCACCCATGTCACAAGAGGGTGTTGGATGCCCTGGAACTGGAGTTATAGATGGTTGTTAGTTACTATGTCGGTGCTGGGAATCAAACCTGGGTCTTACTGCTGAGTCATCTCTCCAGCTTCATGCAGGAGAAATAAACTCAAAATAGATGATGTACCTTAATGTAAGCTCTAAAGTTATAAGCTTCTAATAGAATGCATAGGAATAAATCTTTGCAGTTTGGTATTATGAAGCCTTTTTTTGCTATGACTACAAAGTCACAAACCACAGAAGAAAAGGGATATTGGATGTCAGTAATATTAAAAACTTCACATTTTCAGTGGATAACAAGAAAGTAAAGAAACACATAGAATCTGAGAAGATGCTTGCAAATCATATATATGATAAGAATTTATATTCAAAACATTATAAATAAATAAAAATTATGCATAACATTTGAATAGATATTTCTTCAAAGCAAATAGACAAGTGGCCTAAAGCAAGCAAAAAGAATTATCTCCCAGGAAACTGCACATCAATACTAGAATGAAATGTGACTTCATACCTACAAGGACAGTTATAATTAAAAAGTCAGATAATAACATGTATTTGCCAGGATGTAGAGAAAGTAAGGCCCACATACATCGTTGGTAGGAATGCAAAATCATGTAGTCACTTTGGAAAATGCTGTGTTAATTCAGCAAAATTTTAAGCATCACTTGTGATTACCTGCACAATACCTCCACAAGATTAGGCCTGTCCAAGGGGAAGGGGAAGGGGCTCATAGTGCTCTAGCTCTCCTAGAGATTTATATAGAGACATTTTCTTCAATGATACGGCTCCTGGGAAGGTGCACACGCTCAGGTAAACAAACTCTCGGGTTTGCTCCAGTGAACAATCCTAATAAGACTCATTGAGGAAAGCATGTTTTTAAGGGCATGAAAGCAGAAGTGGAAGTAGTTGGGAAGAGGAGAAGGAATAACAGGAGTAGAAGGGGGACAAAGAGGGGTAACAGGTGTGATGCGATAAAAATTTAGTATGTGACTATTTGGCAGTGTCATAATAAAGCTCCTTATTATGTATATTTAATATACACTAATAAAAATCATTGAAAAAGATGGATGCAGCCAAGCGTTTAGAGCACTCTTTATATAATGCTTTTAGGACAAGCCATCAAAGATTTTATCAAAGCGAGTTACTTAAGCAATTATATGTTTAAGAAA